TATATGACATGGTTACATGAATATGTAAAAGGATATAAAAGATAATGCCCATGTTATGTGTCATGAGAGCTAGGGGTATAGTTGGCATGCCAAGAGTTGAGGGTTTACCTATGTCTTTCGAGACATATGGACAGTTTACCTAGGTTCTTCGAGACCTATGGATAGTTACCGAGGATCTTTATGACCTCTGGACAGTTACCGAGGATCTTTATGACCTCTGGATAGTTATCGGGGTCTTTGTGACCTCTGGATAGGTCCTTCGGGACATTTATATGAGCTGTGGTGACAGCATAGTGGTGCACAACCTCAATAGACTCACATATCTAGTTCTCACAGGTGCACATGGGCTAATAAGAGATAACATGGAATGTACTGTATATGATATATGTGTGTTAGTGATTATTGTATATGCTATAAGATATATGATGAGCTTAATTGATCATATAAACAAGAATAGAATATAAAGGTGATAATATGATAATGATAGGAAAGAAGATAATTATGTATGTGGATATATATATATATGAAAGGTGCATAGTAGATTACATGTATATGGGGTATGATGCTTGTATGTGATATGTTAGTAGAAATTGTTCAAGCATGATTACGAGTTAGAGTTTTATTATATGTTTTATGCCTCACTAAGTCAACGACTTAGCGTGTGATTGTTTCACACGTAGGTTACAGAAGTGAGAAGTGTAAAGAGCTAAGAGGAGCAAGACAGGTCAGTATTTTCCTTATAAAGTTTCAGATCAGAAAATAGATGATTTAAATGTGTATAGTTAATCTGAATATAGTTGGCATGTACTAATTGATTGAGTTGAATATGCTCTGATCGATTTTGGTCAATTTATGTAAATACACAGTTTTTATTTTAATGAAAGTTTTAAATTTTTCTTTGAATTTTTGTCAAGAGTCAAAGTTTGAAAAGTCAATGTGACACCTCAAACTCGTATTCGGGTCGGATATGGGTTGAGCGTGTTACAATCCTCGCCATCCACTGCACCACCCAATCCACATGATACACCTCCCAATTAACATATGTCTTCCCCTATCGCGTTAGGCGATGTAAGGCATTGTCCAAGGTTATTGGTGGTGGCAGAATTGTTTGGACACGACCAAATTACAACAATACACGATTAGTAGGATACCACTCAACGATCTCATGGATTATCAACGGGACCACCGACATCCAAACGTGCGAATTGTGACGTATCTCATCCGGAGTTCACGCTGTAATAGTTTCGTCACTGTATGACGTTCACACAAATTATACAAATATTTTTTAAACAATGTTAGAAAAACTTGAATAAAAAATTATTATTTAATTTACAAATTAAAATTATATAATCAATTACCTCGTCAGTCATCTTATCGATCGACAATCTAAAATCACGCAGACTTTTTGGTAGGTGGGAGTGACTAAGTGCGACGATCCACCTATCATTCATATAATAAAATATAATTATTTGTAAAACTCAAAAAACATGTAGTAATAAATATATAAACGAAGGTTATTTGTAATTACCTCCGAAGTAATGAAAATTGTAATAGGGTCGGTTGTAAAGGAATTGGCACTAAAAAGTGCATTCGAAACCAAATACACGATTGTAAAAACATCAATTAGCCTCCAAGTGCTTGTTTGTTCGGATTAACACCTTTACATAGCTCCCAGTACTAAAGGCCAATACCGTCGATCTCCAACTCTTATTTTTAGAGGCCCGTAAATCACATAAATGATACAACCACATCAGGTGCATTTTGTTTCGAGATTTATCATGCATCAAGACCCCAAATAACTTGTAAAAATTTGAGCACGAGAAAATTGATGTAAAATAAAAATGGTGTGAATACATTAAAAAATTATAATAAAAAATTACAATAACATAAACTAAAACAAAATTTAAATATTATAAATAAATAAATAATAATAAATAAACATAGATTTAAAAAATTACCTGTTTAATTTTTGGAGTAGCATCGACAGAGAGCTGATTAAAATTTTTGTCCAAAAATTTAATGTAGATCTTCCCTCCATCCAAATCGTCCTTTATTAGAGTAACTCCGAGCAGTTCCTCACACTACTTTTCCCAGTCCCCGTGAGACTTATTGATAATAGGATTTCCATCAACATGTAGCCCAAGATGGTATGCGACATCTTCAAGGGTAATACTCGCCTCCCCACAAGAAAATGAAATATGTGCGTCTCCGGTCTCTACTGTTCAATTAACGCATTTATCAATAGAGGGTGTAACTTCGTACCACCAGTTACGGTGCCAGTGTAACCAAAACTGGTTTCGTGCAAGTATGGAATAATATTGTCATTAGGAGACGGGAAACAGTTGAAACTCATCAACGAACGTTCATATCCCTTCAAATATATAAATAAATAACTAAATAAATAAATTCAAATTAAATAAATAAATTCGAGTTGAATAAATAAATAAACAAATAAATTAGAAATAAATAAAAATTACTACCATTTTTCCGCCATTAGGTGCATACATGCGGAAGATCAACACTCAATAGTCCCGCCATAATAATATGAGAGAGAATATATGAGAGATTTTTTTGAATGAAGGTGTGAGGAATTTGGATATAGTGGCCCTCACACAACCATCACTCACCATCGAACCTTACCCACCTCCCCCGCTGTTTCATTCAAGCCATCATTGAAACCTAAACATATAAACTGTGGGGGACATGTATCATTATATTGTTGATGAGAATTACATTACAATGAAAAGTTTTCAGTTTCATGACCAAAGTGAAGACACTCTAAAATTTCAACGACTGTTAATGTAGTTTATCCTGAATACTAATTCATAGTAATCTAAATCAGTTGAACTAAATTACAATTTTTAAAATCATCATACGAACTAATGGTTGTTGTTCGTTACAGTAAGAAATTGGAGCTCAACCAGTGGCTTGTAGCCTTATCCAAATACAGAAACAGAAGGGTTTCATAAAGTACCAAGTCCTTCGAAATTCGTTTTCCATCAATTTCGCCGACAGCCTAGGCCTTGTTTTTCATCTTCTTTCACTTAAAACACATACTAGATTAATTTAGGTTTAAAATTTTACTGGATTTGAATTAAACTGCCACTGCATGGAATATATATGCATACCTAGTAATTATTTAGTAAATAGTCCAGTTATTAACATATAAAAATAGGCTAAAATGTATATTTCAAGAAGAAAATTCAATTTTTTAGTGATGAGAGGACTAAAACCTCATTATTTCTCTTAAATCTATATACTGAAAGCACCTGACCAACCTCTTTACATTGACAAATCCAAGAGCTCAGAAATGAGCATTATGTTCATTTATTATGGCCATATACCATAAATGCATAATTTTTATTTCCTTGTTTTGACTTGCTTGTCGCCATGCACTTGTCTTTACCCTGAAGATGGATATGCAGAGAGATGGTGAAATGATGAAAACCAAACAAATTTCAAAAACTCTCCGGACAAAACCTCAAGAAAAGTGGACATTAATTAAGGCGGTCGTTAGGTCAATTTATGTCCCGAGAAAGTTAATGGGTTTGACCCCACTGTTGTGATTCATTTTCATGACGAAGAAAGATATACGTGCCAATATCATCACAAAGTTTGGATCTTGAGAATCGATGCGAGTGTTTTAAGCTTTTGTTTTTTAAGATCACCTTGAAGATTCGACTCTCATAGTGTTTTTCAGGTCTATTTTTTGGTATGATTTTTTCACTGTGGTTTTTGTTTTCTACGACATTCAAAGCTGGACAAGCCAGAATCGTACAATGATGAATGGGTTATGGCCATACGTACAGTATTTTTTTCCTTTCCCAATTAGAGCATTGGGGGTTTTTTATTTAGCACATTAGATCACCTGGGTTTTTATTTTGGATTCTATGAGTTTTTTACAGTGTTTATGGAACTCGTCATGTCAAAAGCGAGTTTAATAAAAATATTTTTTATTTAAACTCGTTACCTTGAGGTGACGAGTTTCAATAAAATATAATTTCTTTTATTAAAATTTATCACATCGAGAAAAAAGAATAAAAAATATTTTTATTAAAACACATCACCTTGATATGAAAATTTTCATATACTGTAGAAATACTGTATATTCCAAAATAAAAGTATTTGTGCCCTATTTTACAATTTTTTGGGCTGCCTTATTAGGCCATAAAAATCTACGTACAATGGTGAATTGGGTTGGACCCAAATTTAAAGTGGACAGGGCAAAGCCAGCCGAGCAGGTTGAACCCAATGAAGCCTCTGTCCTTCATTTAGAGCCCTTGAGCTAATCAGTCCCTTTAAAGATCCGTCCATTTTTCGTTTGAATTTCAGATCACGATATCAATGAAAATTTTTAAGGGTAAAATATACAAATGATGCCTCGTTATAGAACGTTGTATTGCTGATCTCTCAACTCTTAAAAATTATAAAATGGTCCTTTGATTATCGGAAGTTATTTTGTTGGTTTTCTAACTATTAAAAGTTACAAAATAATCATTCAACTATTCATATGTTCAAACTCATCTTTCTATTAAGATTAACGGTTGCTTGAGCTGACGTTAACATGCTGATTAGAGTATGATAAAATCATATTTAATCATGTCTACTAGCACTGTCGCTGCTTTCAAACACTAGCTGGACAATATAATGTTTTAAGCACTGACTCGAGGGCGTGATGCAAGTGAAGAGTTTAATACACAAAATACAACTCACGATTTTGGGATTATATTTTATCATATCCAAGTTAACAGCTTAACGTCTAATTTAGACGACATCTAATTTTTTAACGAAAAAAGACAAATTTGAAACATATGAATAACTAAGTGGTCATATTATAATTTTTAATAGTCAACGACTCAACAAATAACTTTCTATAATCGAATGATCATTTTATAACTTTTAATAATCGATCAACTCTTAAAAATAGAAAAGGCTGTGGAGTATATATATGGGAGCGATTGTAAATTGGTGGATAATCCTAAATGCTTGGATATGAACCTTCGTTCACCTCCTTCTTATTCCATATCCACCTTCAGCTTCCTTCTGTTTCTTGTTGATTTCCGAGACGATGAGAAATGTAGACGGTGACAGTACCTCCGGTGTCACCTTCCACTCGTGAAGATGCCATGCAAATCTTCCGGGCCTTCAAAGGTAACCTTTTCTTCTTCACTTCTCCATGTTCTTTTCTTCAGGTTAGAATTTCAGCTAGTTGATCCGTGGGATCTAAATGCTTTCTCCGTTCCATTTTAAGGAATAGGATGTGATGCGGGAGCGATCGTGGATATTCTAGGTCACAGAGATGCCACACAACGCCCCTCATCGAACAAGAATACGAATCCAATATGCCAGGAACTTTGAAAACGAATCCATCGTGGATATTCATACAGGTCTTCAGTGAAAGAAGTAGGGCACACCTTTGCGCTGTTATTGACGTCTACAAAAGCCTGTTCAAGAAAACATTGGAGAAGACCATAAGAGATGAAACTCACAGGAACTTTGAATATGCCCTTAAAACAATTTTAAGATGTGCCGAAAGTCAACCAAGGTTCTATGCCAAGGTGAGGCCAAAAACTCCAATTCTTCTATTAGATTCCAATATGTTTAATTATAATATTGTAGATGGAACAAGATGTTTATAATATTGTCGAAGAGAGAGAAATAGAGAGAAAGGGTTCAAAGGGTTCTACATCTCTATTCTACCTCCTCATGAAAGTAAAAGACCAACCAATGATCATTTGACCATTGGTTGTCTAAATTAAAAGGGATAAAACACCTATTATCACCATCATAACCATGTTGTTAAACCAACTAGTATAAAACGAATAATTTATTTTAAAAAAACATTTGTTCTGACAACAGGCGTTGCGGAAGGCAATGAAAGGTCTTGGAACTGATGACACTGCACTAGGAAGGATTGTGGTTACCAGAGCTGGGATTGACATGCAACACATAAAGCTCGAGTATCGTAGGAAGTATGGCAAGACCTTGAATGATGCCGCCCATTACGACACATTAGGACACTACAGAGCTTTCTTGGTAGCCCTTTTAGGTCCCAATAATTAGGTCTATCCTACTACTAGCCGGGATACATATAATGGGTAGGGACTCAAGCTTTAAACGCTGCATTAATTTAGAGTTTGGAGATTGAATATTCATAACTTGTACATTGTTGATAATGCTCATTAAATATTAGAAATATGCTAGTTAGGTTTTCACTAGTATATACTTAAATTAGGTATTTCCATTAGTATTGAAAATGACTATTTTGCCCTCACTATTTAGCCTATAAATAGTGAGCAATTTCATTCATTTCATACATCCAAGCAAACATTTGTTTTGAAATACTCCTATCTTAAGAGTGTTGTTTGAGTTGAGAGAAGAGCAATACCATGTTAACTCCAATTTTCGGGTGTACGAATTCTTGGAGAGCCGTGTTAACCTCGGGGGAACGGTCCGCCTACTGTAGCGATTACATACATCGGGGCAAATTCGTTTCTAAGACAGTGATTTTTACCACGACACGGTTATCATTCTGATTGATTATTTTATTTAATATTTTTCAGTCAGTGCTAACGCCTCGTTTTGCAGCAGTCTATTTTTCCAACAGTTTAGAAACGAATTATACTGCTGTTGAAAGAATATTTGTCATGTTTGATCATTGATACAAGGAGTTCAGTTTGATCTATCTTGTTACTGGAAGTTAAATTGTTTATATGTTTTAATGGCTACAAAATTGCGTAATTGGTATTGCTTGACTAATTTTGAATGATCGCATGTTTAATAAAAAAACGGTTTTTCCTCTAAACCATTTCAACTAAAAGCTTTAAATCTTTGCAAATAAGCTTTTGTTAAGTTATTTAATAGCTATACAAGTTTTTGGGTAATAAAACGTTTACTGTAAAGTAATGTACGTATGGGTAAGAATAACGTTCGAATCCTTGATAGTAGGAGGAAGCATAAAAAATGTTTATTTGTTCAAAGGAAAAATATTTTATCATTAAATTTTATAATAGAACCGTTTTTATTTATTGCTTTTAATGATTTTAATAATGACCATGAAAACATTGGTTTTAATATGGTTATTGAATTGAAGAACAATTTTAATGGTTAGATTAATCAAAGATTAATAACCATTTTTTAATTGTAAAAGGCCAAATGGTTATGGAAAATATTTATTAAAAGCTCATAAATATTTTGGTATATGTTATTCAAAACACTGGAACGATCGAATGACAAAAAGTTTTAATTTGTATGTATGATAGTTGTTATGTGGAGAAGAGTAACTATTTATTTTCATATGGGGTAAGATTATTCAGTTTTGAATATTAAGTTGAAAATAATATCAACTATTTTATCATACTAATAATTTCCTTTGAGAAATTTATAAAGACAACAGGATGGTTGCAATTTTAGAGAATCATGAAGATGATGATGTTGAACGAGAAGATTCTTCAAACCGAATAGTTGTTAAATTCGGGTTTGATTTTCACAATCTACTGAAGATAAGAAACCAAAATCCTAAAGATAAGGATCTTGTCACAATCAAATTATTGTTAGTAAATTAATTTCGTGACTAACCATGTATATTCTTCATTTGACTTCAGAAGATTTAAAAGAGATGATGGTTCAGATAAAGAGATTGTCATGTTAGATTTTGGGATCATGCTATTAAAAATGATGATGCAAAGGCTGAAGTAGCATGCATGGTAAGGATGAATAAGTTTATTTGGAAATTATGACTCTACATGCGAGGTCAGATTATTTAGACTTGTTATCTGTTAATTCATGTTTTTTTAAATACATGAATTAGATTGCATGAGCCTTTAAGATAGTCTTTAAAACTTAGTGGATACTATGAAATGAGATAAAACCACTAGTAAAGACAAAGGCAGTACTACTAAGGATAAGGGAGTAGTGTGTGTAACACCCCAACCCGTACCCGACCCCGATACGAGTCCGAGGTGTCACATTGACTTTTCAAAACGTTTACTTGTATAAAATAGTGAGTAATTTAAAAATTTTATACATGTAACTTATTCAAAAGATTTCCAAAACTATTCAGAGCTTAAATGTTTTTGCAAAACCAATCAGAGTATATACAATTCAAAACATTAATTACATGCCAACTATTTTCAATATACAAAATACATCTAAGTCAAGACATCTTTTCTGATCTGATCTTCGGTAAGAAGTAACTGACCGGTCTTGCTCCTCTTCACTTTTCTTCTAGCTTTCCGAAACCTATGTGTGAAACACTCACACGTTAAGTCGATGACTTAGTGAGGCATAAAGAAAACACATCTAATGGAATTCATACCCACTAATCATGCATGATTGTTTTATGCTATCAAATTATACAACTCATTTACATATACATCAACATATATTCATGTATATTATGTAACAGATACCATAACCCTTATCACACATATATCATATCGTGCAATTCATATCATACATCATATACATAGATCACATATATTGTTCTCATATCACCAACCTGTTTATCCTTACTAATTCCCTTGTCATTACTTCAATTCCGTCATGTGAGCATATAATGAATATAAACATATTATATATATTTTAATATGCCACAATACGTTACTAATTCTATAATCATATAATACATAAACGCATAGCATCTCATATCACCATGACATATATGCATTTCCATGTCAAGAGAAATACACATATCATTATACAAATTATGTTCTCTTTTCAAAGCCCATGTACACATGTGAGAACTATAGATATGTGAGTCTATAGAGGTTGTGCACTATGCTGTCACCACAGCTCGTATAATTGCACCGCTACGTAGAATTGCACCGGAGTGCCACGTAGAATTGCACCATCGTGCTATATAATAATGTCCATAAGGACCACATATCATTCCTTAAGAATCATATACATATACTAGGGATCAAGTATGTGTCCTCACCAGACTTCACACAGTTCCAAAGAATACATATATGTCCCGAAGGACCACATATCATTCCTTAAGAATCATATACATATGCCAAGGATCAAGTATGTGTCACACCAGACTTCACACATGTTCCAAAGAATACATATATGTTCCGAAGGACTGCATATCATTCCTTAAGAATCATATACATATGCCAAGGATCAAGTATGTGTCTCACCAGACTTCACACATGTTCCAAAGAATACATATATGTCCCGAAGGACCGCGTAGACCCTCGAGTCTTGGTATGTCAACTATACCCCTAGCTCTCAAGACACATAACATGGCATTTTCTTTATACTTATCATTTCACATAACACATAGTTCAATTACTCATAGAACATTTCATATGAGTCACATTTACATCACATAGCTTATATACTTTCTCACGTAGTTACATAGATCCATATCATATAACATATATCCCAAAGTGCATATAATCACATATATCATATCATATAGCTTAGATTTCTCAGATATTCATAAAAACATACATATCATATCTTGTTCACATATGATCATATATGCTTCATATAACACATAGAAACACCTAGAACACTTTCTCATAGCTTATATCAATTTTCAGAGTCCTTTCATATTACCTGATGACATATATCATATAGATATATAATAACTGATATCATATTATCTACCTTATGCTCCATTTCTTTGTATTTCCTTAGATTATAAATTATGTCGTATTTCTAAACATATATTTAATAGTATTTTTATTTAGGTACTAATTTAATCTCTTACTTAATTCAATTTCATATATTCATTATAATCTTTTCATATAGCTCCATTATACTAATTCTCATAATAAATCATACCACTATGTACTTGTCCAACTCATGTTTCCATTATGCATATACTGTTACCCATGTTTACCTAGTTCATATCACTTCTCATAAACTCACTTTCATCATATTTTCCTATTATTACATATTTTATCTCATAACCATGTATTCAAATTGTCCTATATTTCATTATCATATTACTTATATTTGTTCTCCTATGACTCTTTATAAACATCTATTTCTATTTCCCTACATCTATTTCTATTTCCCTACATCTCTCGACTTATCTTCTATTCCTATAATTCATAACTTATTTTATATTCTCTCAATAACACTTAATCGTGTTTTTACATAAACCACATCTCACATACAAAACATATCAATTCAGATAATCAAACATACATACACTCATATTCAACTCATGCCTTTAATCATGAATTCATACGTAACACTTCAGGAAATAGACTCATCGCAAGTCTTATTCCCATCACACACCATATACTATTGAATATGCACTCACCTGGTCTCATTAGTCAATCTCAATCTCTAATCTTTCCCCTAATCGATCTTACTCACCAAATGTTCCAGAATTGACTTATGCTCAGATCTACATAAATGTACATTTTAGGCAATTATTAGATACCTACACCTTGTATTGGATACTAGCAACTTAAATGAACTTATTAAACCCATATTCACAATTTTCCTTTAGGGGGAATCGGTTCCCTCCTGTGGGGGAATCGGTTCCCCTATGAGATTCTGGAATTTCTGGTTCGTTTGAGGGGGGTATCGATTCCCCATTGAATGGGTACCGATTCCCTTGAATGGGTACCGATTCCCCTTGCCCAGAAATCAGATTTTCAGCATGAAATTTACTTCATTTCATTAAACACTTCATATTTCAACCTCTTCTATATACTAACTCAACACACATACTTAAGCCATTTGTACTCATTTATCCATCTTAATTCTCAAAATCCTCTTCTCTTAATGAAATTCAAGAATTATACTCAAATTTCAACATGTTCTAAATTCCTTCTATCACTCCAATCTCTTAATTCAACTATTAACAGTCAAATTCAACTTAAAATTCAACTTATCAACTTTATTTCAGATTTCATTCAAAAACTCAAATCTTTAATCTGCTAATTCCACCATCCTTTGTTTTTAAGATGATTTAAGCTTTCCTTAAGCTTAATTATCATCCAATAATCATAACCAAACCTTTAGTTGAACAAATAATCAACTAATGAAGAAACTTACCTTTGTTTATGGCTTCACGGTGGAAAAGAAGAGAATGAAGAAGAGAAGTCTGGAACTCTCTCATATTTCCCACGTTTATAATACTCAA